CCGCCTACTTGTTTGAAAGCGTTCTCCATATCGTCAAAACTCTTCCCGTCAAATGACATCTTGCCTTTTTCGTTCTAAAATTTTTATAATTAGTTTTTGAAAAACAATTTTTTTAATTAAAATTGGATATTTTAATTTTGAAATTGATAGCGTTGATTTTCATTTGTGCGTTTTAGCAGTTATTGATCTAACTCAAGGGAGAGAGTAAACTACGGCCTGCGGTCGGCCCGCGAAGGTATTTTATGCGGCCCGCGAGGCCTTGTTCGCCAAAAAAGTTGTCAGCCAGACATTGTGACCAAAAAAAGAAGTCACAAATCTTAAAAAAATTACCCCCAAGGTCGAAAAAATTTGCTATTTAAGTACATATGCGGCCCTTCAAAGGTAAAATAGTTCTCAGTGCGGCCCTCAGCAAAAAGTTTGCCCCTCCCTTGATCTATAACTGATTGATTGGTTGAATGAATGATTAAATGGATGAATTAATAAATGAATATCGTCGCAATAATAATGATAATAATATAACAACGGGAATAATAATAAAGATGTTGATAACAATGAAATTACAAGTTACACAATTCCTTTAAAAATGATAGACGAAATTTTGAGTGATTTTGTTGTAAAAAATGTTGAATTTTCGAATCAATAGTTTCAAAAAAAACTTACAAAATCCATAATTATCTGTTAGATTTTATTACAAAATGGATGGGAATGTAAAAAACTATCGAAAATTTCTTTATTAAGTTGTAAATAATTATTTTTATTTAATTCTTAATGACCCATTAAAGTATCAAACTACGAAATTAATGATTCTTTACTAGAATTTTCCTATTTTTAATAAAATTTCCAACTATAATTAACCACAAATTCAATGATAATTAATTTATATTTCATAATATCAATGATAATATTAATATATATTAATAAATATAGAACAATAATTGGAGTTATATTTAAAAACTTTTCAAAGTGCTTCTAAGTTGCTGTGGAAACAAACGCACTTTGCATTGCAAAAACATTCATTTGAATAGATCTTATTAAAAAAGAACAGATTCATATTTTAAATCATTTTTATTATCTAATTAGTATTGTAGATAGCTTTTTTTGGTCATATTTAAAAAAAATCAATGGCACCATTTAAGAGTTTTAACTAAATTTACTTTTAAATTTGTTTACATTAAATTCACTTTTTGAAAATAAATATTACTGCTTAAAAAATCATGGTTTTTGAGCAAAAATCGCTCCTAAAAACTCTAAGTTTCTTATCTTTACACTAATTTAAAAAAAATTTAAAAACCAATTATGACAGTTAAGACGTTATATATGATAAATCTTCAATTAAACCGAAATTTCATCTCCAAATTTCGCTACAATTTCGGCGTTTTTTTACTGTCCTTACCAGCCCAATCACAGCCAAAAAGATTTTTAGCAACAAAAAAATCGGCCTTACTAAAATTCTCTAATCTTCAGGACCGCGTGAAAAACGTCATTGAGTTTGATTGGGGATTTCTGACAGACAAAAAAAATCGTGATATGCTAAGGGAGAATATTGGCAATAGGAAAGGTGCTGGGGATATCAATAGAGTGGTCCGTCAGTGATTAAGATTTGAGATTTTAAGATTGAAAATAATAATAATTGAAATAATATTTTGTAATTATATTTGTTTTTTCATTATTTAAAAAATTGAAATTAATTAAACTAATTCAGTTTAGTTTTTTTAGGATTTTAAAATTTGAATAAAACATTTTTAATTAATAATAATAATAATTAGTGATTTGAAGATTAAAAAAATTTATTCATCATATCCATTTCGTTATGTTATCAATTTATTTTTACTCTAATTAATCAATAATAATTTTTTATTTAAAGGTAGAACTTTTCAACAAATTGAAAGACGTGACCAAAGGATCGTTAGAAGTATTTAAAATAATAATAACAATAAATAATGATAATAATAATAATAAGAGAATAATAATACTGTAAATAACAATGCTTATATGAAATACTAATTGCAATAAATAGTAGTAGTAGTAGTAGTAGTAGCAGTAGTAGTAGTAGTAGTAGTAGTAGTAGAAGCAGCAGTTGTAGTTGTTGTAGTAGTAGTAGCAGTAGTGTAGTAGTAGTAATAGTAGTAGCAGTTGTGTAGTAGTAGTAATAGTAGCAGTAATAGTATCAGTAGTGGCTATAATAAAGTGACGTTATATTATAATTGGTTGTTATATCTTAATCATAATTTGTTCATCTAAATTTTCATTATTTAAATTAACTTTTAGTATGATGTCATAAAGCAAAAGCTGTACAATGCCGCTTTCGACCTACCCAACCTAACTCATCCAAATGCGGTTTAAAAATTTTTAATTTGAAAAATTTTTTTTTGTTACAATAAATATAATTAAATCTTTTCATCCTGACATGTGTTTTAAGCATATTCTAATCATCTTAAATCATTATCACATTCAATCACATCTTCATACACCAATTCATCATTATCCTCATCACCATCATCATTGGCTTTAGAATGATTTTTTGTAATGATTGAATTTACATTGGTTTCATAAATTTTTCAAAAGCCAATTGGCGACGAGAGCAAGGCGAAAATCATCTTGATGGAAGGAATAAAACGAGGTTTGATAATGATGATGATGATAATAATGATGATGATAATTATTTTAAATCGTTATTATTATTATTATTATTATTATCATTATTTTAGTTAAAAATATTTTTAAATTAGATTTTTCATTTCAACCAAAGTCAGTTCAAGAGTTGGGAAGGATAAACAAACACAATCTACACACTGAGTTGGAAAAATTATTATTATTATTATTATTGTTGTTGTTGTTGTTGTTTATTTTTAGTTATATTGTTATTGTTTTTCCGTTAAACTCTTCTGTTGATGTTTAGGCAATGGCACAATGTAAATGATATGTTAATTTATGCTAATTTATTTGTACTGTTATAGTTAGTATTTATGCTAATTTATACAGCAACGTAGCCCCAATGTGTGGGCCCAGAGCCTACCACCTGACTGATGAATGGGCCAATCTGGAGAGAGCCCTCGTTAATTATTCCATTGATTATCTAATTAGTAAAGTTAGTTGGTTGGCTGGCTGGTTGGTTGGCTGGTTGATTGGTTAGCTGGTTGGTTGTTTGTGTAGTTGTTTTATTGGTTGGTTGAGCCAAGAATGAATGAATGAATGAATAGAAGGATGGATGGATAGATCGATGAATTTACGAAATAAGGAATAATAGTAATAAATGAAACGATAAATAATATATTCAATTGAATGGCTTATAATTAATTTTATTTAATTTATTCATTTTTGTAGAACTTCCACTTGTTTGCCGTGCCTGACGTTGTCCCTACTAGACATGTGGTGAGTCGAAACATCATCATCATCATCATCATCATCATCGTCATCACAATCATCATCACTATCATCATCGTCGTCGTCGTTACAATCATCATTATTGTCGTCATTATCACCATCGCAATCATTATCAGGAGAGTTGTGGTTTCAGTACTACAGGTGTACGAACTCAGGTGTACAAAATTTCAAACGATCTTTGTTTGGCAGGAACCGGAGAGATGTCGATTGCTTGTGAGTTGTTGGTTGGTTGGTTGGTTGAATGGTTGGTTAGTTGGTTGGCTGATTGATTGGTTGGTTGGTTGGTTAGTTTGCGATTAAGTGACTTGATCATTGATTATCATCGTGATCGCATCACCTTAACCATCATGATCATTGATGATTAACAGATATTAATTGCAGTTTATTTTTTGACAGCATTCTTAATGAACCAGGTTTTGAGTTTGTCTCAACTCCCACTAAGGTTAATTTATATCAACATATCAGCCGGTCAATCAGTTATACAATCAACCAACCATCTAACATATCAACCATTCAACCAATCAGCTGATCAAAACCAGCCAATAATAACTATTTACTTGTAAAGCATGTTAAAACACTATCATCCAACTGATTTTTTAACTGATTGACCCATCAATCAATCAATCAATCAATCAATCAATCAATCAATCAATCAATCAATCAATAAATCAATCAAACAATTAAACAATCAATCAATCAGTCAATTAGTCAACCAAACAATTAATCTACCAATCAGACAACAAATCACTCAGCCGGTTTCAATTAGTCAAATAATCAACTAACCTGCTAACCACTCAGCCAGCCAGCCTCAATCAGTCATTTAAACGACCAACCAATCAATCTCAATCCAGCAACCAACTAACAAACCAACCAACCAATCAATCAGCTAGCCTCAACCAACCAACCAATTGACCAACCAATCAGATTAGCGACCGTCAGCCGATGTTATCGAGCCGAAACTTCGGACATAGAGAGAGAACGAGGACTCTACAGAGTGCATCAGTTCACTAAGGTTGCATAATAAATTACGATTATAACTAATTAGTTATACCTAATATACAAATATTTCAATCAATTAATTAATTGATGAATCGTTCAGGCAATCAGCTAATTAAATAAATAATTAATTGATTAATTAATTGATTAGATCGAAATGTTCGGTGTGACATCTGGCGAACGAAAGAACATCGACGGCCGTGGAGATAATTCATTCGCAAGTGACGAACTTTTGGACGAGTTCGTCCAGCATCAGAGGAATTTGTTCTGTGGACTCGACTTGCATTACAGGTAGTTTGTTGTATTTTTAGTTTTCTTATCACCACTTTTCACCATTTCTCATCATTTTTCATTATTTCTTGTCAGGTTATGCCGATGATTAGGTCGTATTTTAGCTTGGCTTTTTGGCTTAACTGTCATGTTATTTATCATCATCACATTTTTTTTACCATCACGGTTCAACTTCGTCACGGACAACCTTGTACGTAGCCATTCATCACAAAGTCATCATCAACATCATCACATCATCATCATTACTCCATCATCATCATCATCATCACTACCCCATCATCATCATCACTACCACATCATCATCATCATTACCCCATCATCATCATCATCACTACAGAATCTTGGACATGCCCACCCAGGAACTTGGCTCGCCTGCCTATCGAAAGTTCGACATAGAAACATGGCTGCCTGTGAAAGAATTTTGGGGGGAGGTACTGATGATGATGGCGATGATGATAATGATGATGGTGGTGATATGATGATGATGATAACGGCCGGCTTACATTACGTTGATCGTATGCTGTATTTTTATTTGCTGTCATCATATCTATCATCATCACCATCATCATTTCTTCCAGCATCATTATCATCGTTACAACTACGATCATGATCATGATCATCATCATCATTACCATCATCATCATCATCATTACCATCATCGTCGTCGTCAGATTTCAAGCGCCTCAAATTGCACAGACTACCAGAGCAGAAGACTGAACATAAAATACATCGACGATAGTAGTAGTAGTAGTAGCAGCAGCAGTAGCAGTAGTAGCGGTAGTAGTAGCAGTAGTAGTAGTAGTTGCGGTAGTAGTAGTAATAGTAGTAGCGGTAGTAGTAGTAGTAGTAGTAGCGGTAGTAGTAGTAATAGTAGTAGCGGTAGTAGTAGTAGTAGTAGTAGCGGTAGTAGTAGTAATAGTAGTAGCGGTAGTAATAATAGTAGTAGTACTTTTCCACCTCATGAAAAATACTGTCATACAGTGAGTGGATTACGACCGATTTCGTTTCGTTTTATTACACCGTTTAACCATATCACAATCACAACTACCTACCTCATCATCATCATCGTTGTCGTCGTCGTCATCATCATCGTTCACCATCATTATTATTATCATTCACCGTCATCATCATAATCACCACAATCATCATCATCATCGTAATCACCACAATCATCATCATCATAATCATCACTAAAATCATCATCGCCATCACCATAATTCACCACAATCATCATCATCCTCGTCGTCATCATCACCACCAGATTAATGGAACAGCTTGCGCTGTGCCGAGAATGATGATAGCCTTGGTGGAAAATTTCCAACAAAAGGTATCATCATCCTCATCATCATCACTATTACAATATTTCATCATTATCATCACTACTACAATATCTCATCATTATCATCACTACCACAATATCTCATCAATATCATCACTACTACAATATCCCATCATTATCATCACTACTATATCATCATCGTCGTCGTCATCATCACTACTATCGTCTTCGTCAGTATCACTATCAATACTCTTGCCACTACATCATTATCATTATTTTTTTACCGGTTGGCATTACTGGACAGCACTACCTAATTGGAAAAAAAAGGTCATTGAGTCTATCAGACTCGGTGATTCTGACATTGCTGCACATGTGCGCGCAACCTGGCATTTGTTTCTGACAGCGACACGTCTTTCAACGTTCATACATGGCCAGTTTCCAATGAATGCTCTGGACAATTGTGTAGGCTTAGGCGCGTCAAACGGTCTATAAGCAAGCTTACTCTTCAATGTCTTGTTTATTCCTTTGTCCACTCAAAAATAAACTATTGCAATAGTCTACATTACGGCCTGTCTGGTGTAAATATGTCTGGACTGGTTTATCAGAGTCATTTTCATGATATGTTTAACGTTTTTTACATGTATCAAGAGAGTTGCCGCCAAGTATTTAACTGGCAGAGTCATTCCTAGAACAATGCCACTGCTGAGTTAAACATTGCGCTCTGACAATTCAGCTTTACTGTTTGTACCTGACACAAACTTGGCTCTAGGTCGAAGGAATTTCTCCGTAATGGGTCCTGCCGTCTGGAATGGTTTGCCTAGGGAGGGACCTTCGTGATCCTTCGTTGTCTGTTATTCAATTTCTTAAAAGGCTGAAACTCCATCTTTTGGTCCAAGCTTACCCGCGCTAATGTCTTTTCCTCTCCACTTATTGCATTGCTTTAATGATGTGCTACTCATTGTACTGCAATAATCGTTAGCGACTCTGAAAATAATAATAATTTTAATGGCCATTACTATTTATCCATACATTTTCTCCTTATCATCATTAATAACGTTATTATCATTATTATTATTACATTATTTTCTTTTTTTATTGTCGTTATTTGCAATTTTTGTCACTAAAATGAAAGAACACATACCTAGAAAGTTATAAAGTGGTATATTTTTATTCAGATGAATGATAAGCAATCGAGGTGTCAATCAATCAATCATTCAGTCAATCAATCAATCAATCATTCATTCAATCAATCATTCATTCACTCAATCGATCATTCATTCACTTAATTGATCTCGAGCAGTAAATCATTCATTCAATCAAACGATCATTCATTCATTCAATCATTCATTCATTCAATTAATCAATCGATCCACTAATCATTCATTCATTTAATCAATTATTCATTCATTTAATCAATAAATATGCAGATTTTACCATTAAAACGAATGAGCACGTGTTATGAAAATATCAATAATAATAATAAAAACAACAATAACAATAATAATAATAATATAACGATATCATTATCAGGATGGCTCGGTGATTTTGCCAGATGTCCTTGGGAAATATATGAAACATGGGAAGGTCATGAATGAAAGAAGGGGGAAGTCGTCAAGAAAATGAATAAATGAATAAATTAACGTCGTAATGATGATAACGGATAAATAATAAATCTTTTTCTTTTTTCTCTCTCTCCTCCTCTCTCTCTCCTCTCTCTCTCTTTCACTTTTTTTCCTGTCACACAATTTTCAAACAAAACAAAAGATAACATTGGAAGAATATTTTTTAAAAATAATTTCGCAAATAAAATTGAAAACTATCTTGTTTGTAATCACATTATAACATCGTTATATCATTATCATGATATATTGATATAGAAATATATATAATCATTGTAATCATTGTTATTATCCATCCACTTGTATAGAGAGAGAGAGAGAGAGAGAGAGAAAGAGATTATTAATTTATAAAAAAGCATACACATACATGCATTTATACATACACACACACACACATACATACATACATACATACACACACAAACATACACACATCACATACAAACACACACAGGCAATCCTATTTTGGCATATTACAATCGAATTAATTATTAAATAATCAAGCTAATAAAGAGAATACGTGTGTGTGTTTGTGTGTGTGTATATATGTGTGTGTGCGCGCGCGCGTGTGTGTAGGTGTGTGTATAATTTTTCCAAATAAATAAATAAATCTAAAGACATATACAATTAACAATTAAATGTACAACAGTGGTTAATGACAATATTAAAATATGGAATGAATGATAAATGATACATCCATTGAAAAAGAGAGCGCGCGAGAAAGGGAGAGAGAAAAAAGAGGGAGAGACAAAGAGAGAGAGAGACAGTTTGCGTGCTTCACTATTTTCAAATGTTATAATTCATTATATTTTAAATATCATTGCATTAATATTATTAATGTTTATATTTCCTGTTAAAATTATTACTATTATTATTATATTATTATTAATATATTACTATAATTATTATATTATTATAATTACTATCCTAGTAAATCTTGGATATCCTTACTCGACAAATTATTTTTGATACTACTACCATTACTACTGCTTATATTAGTAGTAGTAGTAGTATTCATAATATTATTATTCATAATATTGTTATTATTATTCATAATAATATTATTATTATTCATGATATTATTGTTATTATTTATAGGGTTGAAATTATGAGTGTTTGGAAAGTTCAAATTGATTGATTGGTTGAAGTTTGGCATAAATGTCTGCTGCTGTTGGTTGAACGTTGGTCTACTGTTCATTGATTGGTTGATTGACGGTTGAGTGAATGCTGATTGGTTGATTGAAGGTTGATTGAATCCTGATTGGCTGACCGACGACTGGGTGAATCCTGATTGGTTGATCGGTGGCTGACCGAATGCTGATTGGTTGGTCGGTTGTTGATTCTTCATCATCATCATAGGTTGACTTTTCGAAGTTTTTTGGCTGATTCCAGTATTGATGCTGTCGAATGCTGATGAGTTAGTCTGTTTCGATGACGTCATTAACGTTGCAGTTGTTGGGAAAAATTGTTGAGCTGGTTTCGCCATGTTGAAATTTTGTTGCTGTTGTTGTAACGTACCGTTGTTGGTGTTGTTGAAGAGAGATGGATCCTGACCGAAATTGATGTTGCTGTTGTAGGACGATGACGATGACGACGACAATGACGTCATAATTGTTGTTGTTGTTGCTGACAGTTTCAACATAGATAAATTATTATTTATGAGAGTCGAGGTCAGATCTTTCGGGCCCTCCTTCTTCGTCGTCGTCATCATCGACGATGACGTCATTGTTTTGTTGTGGTTGACGTTTTTAGTTGCCGACGACGATGATGATGACGGTTGCAAGGGTGTGTTTGTCGTTTGGAATCTCTGCAGCTGTTCCTGCTGCTTAGCCAACTTCTCCTTTTCTTCCATCGTTAGAGACTGACAACGTTATTTCGTTTCATTCATTCATTCATTCATTTGTTTATTCTTTCATTCATTCATTTGTTTATTGATGATGATGATGATGATGATATTCATCCATTCATTTGTTTATACTTTCATTCGTTCATTCAATCATTCCTTTAATCATTCATCAATCATTCAATCAATCTTTCATTCATTCATTGAATTATTCATTCATTCATTCATTTTCTCATTCCTTCGTTCATCGAATCTACCATTGGTTCATTGTAGCTGTGTAATGCTAGTTTAATTAACAACCAGAAACACCATCATCATCATCATCACCAGCATCATTGTCATTACCTGAGCTTTTTTGGCGCCAAAATTAGACGTGCTGTTGTTATTATTCATCTTCATGGCCGCCGATGATGATGATGATGATGCTGATGATGACGTCAGAGGATCGTCAAATGGGTTGAAAGGTACTCTCTGGATAAAATAGAGATTAAATTCTCATCATCATCATCATCATCATTACTATGACGTCACATTCATTCATCTACTTACTCACTCACTCACTCACCACATCATCCGCCATCTTGTTTGTGTTATCAGCTACTCCATTTCCGATCTGAACTGCTTCCTGTGCAAATCTCCGAAGAGTTCTGTGAAGATGATGATGATGACGATGATAATCATTATCAGCATCAATCATTATCATCACAATCATCATCACAATCCTCATCATCATCACAATCATCATCATCATCACAAACATCATCATCACAATCATCATCATCATCACAATCATCATCAGCACTTTTGTTCTTGCTGCACGGAGTTCAGCTGCTCCAGCTTCATTCTGTGTTCAGTTTCAACGCGACTCAACATATCCTTTATGACGGACATGAAGCTGTTAAACTGTTGGTTGGTTGGTTGATTGATTGAATGATTGATTGATTGGTTGATTGAATGAATGATTGATTGATAGATAGATTAATTGATTAATTAATTACTAAGTTAACTAATGTTTAGATTGGTTGTATGATTAGTTGATTGATTGATTGATTAATTGATTGAATAATAGCGTGATGATTGGTTGGTTTGTGGCACGATTAACGATTAACAACAAATGAATGAATGATTGAATGATTGAATGAATGAAACAAACAATCAATCAATCAATCAATCAATCAGCTAAATAATTAGTTAATTTATGCATAAATTAAGAATCTAGCCTGTGATAGGTTGAGACTGTTATCGATGCAGGTACTCATCAAAAATGGAAGAATCTCATTGGCTAGAAGTTCCTTTGTGATGCCCAGCTTCTTGTGGGTTAGGGCTACTTTGTAGATGCCTGCATGCGATTGGTCGGTCGGTTGGTGGTCACGGCGATGATTGTGATTGTAGATGGTGAATAGTGACTGAGATGATGATGATACAGATTAGGGGTGTGGTTAAAGATGAATGAATCAATCAACCAGACAGACTATCAATCAATCAATCAATCAATCAATCAATCAATCAACCAGACAGACAATCAATCAATCAAACAATCAACCAACCAATCAAACAAACAACCAACCGACCAAGAATGCTCATAAGAATGGCGGGTTCTTTGGAGTTGATGGCCTGCAAGACGGGGAGCACCTCATCCAGCACGAACCACTTGTCTAAGAACTCCAACAACTTGCCCAGACACACCAGGCAGTTCACTTTTATCTGTTTGTTTGTCATCATCATCGTCGTCATCGTCGTCATTACCCTTATCACGTGATCATCATCGACGTCGCGACCACCGCCACCATTATCATCATCATCATCGTCACGACTAACACTGAGTGACGTTTGATTGATGCATAGTTTGCAGATCCTGGGGACGATGATGTTCTTCAGGGACGAGTATTCAACATCTGCAGCAAAGGAGGGCATTATGCTCAGGCAGAGGTCCTGAGTTTGATTGACAGTATGCATGGCTAGTTGATTGGTTGGTTGGTTGAATAGTCAGTAAGTTGATTGGTTGGTTGGTTGAATAGTCAGTAAGTTGATTGGTTGGTTGGCTGAATAGTCAGTAAGTTGATTGGTTGGTTGGCTGAATAGTCAGTAAGTTGATTGGTTGGTTGGTTGAATAGTCAGTAAGTTGATTGGTTGGTTGGTTGAATAGTCAGTAAGTTGATTGGTTGGTTGGTTGAATAGTCAGTAAGTTGATTGGTTGGTTGGTTGAATAGTCAGTAAGTTGATTGGTTGGTTGGTTGAATAGTCATTAAGTTGATTGGTTGGTTGGTTGAATAGTCAGTAAGTTGATTGGTTGGTTGGTTGAATAGTCATTAAGTTGATTGGTTGGTTGGTTTGTTGAATGGAGAGGTCTTACAGTACAAAATTTTTGGGTCTAATTATCTCAGATAATTTATCTTGGGCTGAACATATTAATACTATTTCTTCTAAATTAAGCAAAATTTTAGGTCTTCTTTATAAAATAAGATACAAACTTAATAAAACTACTTTAATATTGTTGTACAATGCATTTGTTTTTCCTCATCTATCATATTGTAATCTTATCTGGGGCAATAGCCCTGCTGTTCATGTCTCAAAACTATATAGAATTCAAAAAAATTTATAAAACTATTATTATATTTAAAAATTACCACTCATGTTGATGAATATTTTTCTTCTTTAGGTCTTCTTACAATATACAAATTACATATTTTTATTGTTGCCTTTTTCATGTTCAAATTTGTCAATAATCTGCTACCATCTAATTTCTCAAATATTTTCTTACTCAAACCTTCACATATTTTTAAATCTACTCGTCACTTCATTCCATATATAATACCATTCAGTAGACTAAAAATTTTAAATGATAGCATATTTATTCTTGCACCCAAAATTTGGTTTACAATTTTGCCTCTATCTGTTACAATTATTTCAAAACCTCGTCTTTTTAAACAACATTGTAAAACTTATATATTGTCTGATAAACGGCGATTTTTGCAACTATAGTTGTTTTAACCTTATCCAAATCTTATTTGAATAATTTTTGTATATGAGTAATATCAATGATCTGAATAAAACTGTTTTTGTATGTATGCATGTATGTATGTATGTATGTATGTATGTATGTATGTATGTATGTATGTATGTATGTATGTATGTATGTATGTATGTATGTATGTATGTATGTATGTATGTATGTATGAATGTATGGATGTATGCATGTATGTATGTATGTATGTGCGTATGTAGGTATGTATATATGTATGTACTCTTACTTTTGAACTATATTTGATTTCATATCATTTAATTTATTGAAATGCTATAGAATCCTAAATTCAAAACTTTAATTTTATGTACTCATTTTGAACTATATCTCTGTTTCATAAGATTAATAGAATAGAATCTGCAGTTCAATAACTTTTGATTTATTTCGATCTAGTTTAATCCTTGATTTTTGTCGAACTATTTTAATTTTTGATTTTTGTTGATCAATGTTGATTTTATTTGGATAGGGTGACTTTCTTACAAGCATTTGGTTGCTTTTTTAGTTTACCCCTCTTTTGAGAAAATAAACGAATTAAATTGAATTGAATTGAAATAGTCGGTCAGTTGATTGGTCGGTTGATTGATTCATTGATTGAATAGTTGATTTGATTGAATAGTTGATTGATTTGATAACTATTAGCTAGCCATTCGTTTGATTGGTTGACTGACGGATTGAATAGTTAATCAAGTGGTTGATTGATTGGTTGGCTGATTGGTTGGTTGATTGACTGGTTGATTGATTGATAGATTGATCGATTGATTAGTTAATTGGTTGATTAGTTGATTGATTAGTTAATTGGTTGATTATTGGTTAACAGCACCTGCATCTGGGGTATATTAATTTCGAGTGCCCTCGATATAAGTGGCAGAATGTGGTTCCTAATGTCACTCTGACTGGTCTTTGATAACAGCAGGCTCATGTTTTGGAGGAATATGAAAGTTATCTGATTGGTTGGTTGTTTGGTTTTGGCTGATTGGCTGGCTGATTGGTTGGCTGAGTGATTGGTTGGCTGATTGGTTGGCTAATTGGTGGTTGGTTGAGTGATTGATTGATTAATTAGTGAATTAATTGACTTAATGGTTTATAGAAAGACGGGCTGGTTGGTTACTTGAATAAAAACACATACACACACACACACACACAAACAAACAAACA